TTGTTCAATGTCACTTAATGGAGGAAACTCAACGCCCATTTTTAGTCGAAATATTTTGATATTTTGTAAATAATTAACAAAAATCTTTTCCCATGCATATCCGTCTAAAAAAATAGTACTTATTTCGAGTGTTAAGTAATGTAAATTGGGCATCTTTTGGAAAAGATTCTTTATCAATTGTACAGAACCTTGAAAAGATGTCTTGAATGAAATTATAGATGGAAAAATAGTTTGCGATTGATGATCATTGTATTGGTTCACGCCATATGTGTAAAGTCGTTGAAGATGAGGTGTATGTTTGAATAGATGAGATAGACTATTTAAATCATAATAAACATTCTTAATAGACAAATAGTTGATTGATTGTGAAATCACTGACATTTCAATGAGTTGTGTTGCATAAGGATGTATAATGTCTAGATGACAATGTGTGAGTTTCAATAGACTCCATATATTATTTATAAAGTCGTGAAAATTTTCCTCTGGATGCTGATAAGTGTTTAAAGTTATATTTAGATAAGTGAGATATGGAAGTTTACGACATTGAAATGTAATTTTATTTAATATGTTGAAAGAATAGATATAATCAATTGAAAGTGATTTCAAATGAATGAATTGATTGATAGTATAATCGTATGACAGAAAAAGTTGACACATATTTGGTGTCTCAGTATCATCTGATAGATGAAGCGAAATAACACGATCATTAATAAGTTCGAGATATTGTTGACGAATGATATCGAAACTACATTTAGATATAGAACGAAAATCAAGATGATATCTTTGAAGTTTGATAAAGAGGAGTTGGTCAAAACGAATGTTAAGACCATGGAAGGCACGAAAAAGATTGACAGCATCCAGAAATTCGAATAAATCAAGTAAAAGTTCGTTAGCCATTGATTCTAAATTCATTATTCTTCTACTTTCAAATAGAGAACAAAAAAAACCCACATCAGATCTTTTATTCATCAGAAAAAAAATGTGTTGTTCTCTTTCATTCTCTCGACTGCTTCGTAAATATTATTATTTTATGTAGTATTACATTTTTTTTTCTTTTAGTATATCACATAATGACGCATGTCGAGCAACAAAAATAAAATGATATTTTTTTTTTGTCGATAACATGTTTTTCTCCTCAAACATAAGATTTAAACTCAACAATAAATAGTTTGCTATTTGATGTAATATTTCAATTATCAATATTTGCCTGTTTAGCTATAGAGGATATTACACTTTACTGAGTAGTTCGTTGATAAGCTGCGAATTGATTTTTCTTTTATAAGTACAAAATACGTTTAAAACCTATGAAGAAAGAAATAGCTGCGTCATTGAACAACCAATGCATGGATGCTAGTAGACATCAGGATTTTTGAATCAATAATCTACTGTAACTTGCTTTAAAACAAATTCTCTATTCTTCCTTTCATATATGAAGAGTTTCACAAAATTGATCTAAGACAAGAAATGTATTTAACTTCCTAAAGCTTTGGCTAACAAAATCCGCCGCATCATTAGCACATATGACAAAATAGTTTGATCTATTTTGATCGATGAAGATCAATGCTGAGTTGCCTTTTGTCACTAGCACATCACTTGAGGGTGTGAGTGTGAGTATGGGTCGTGTCCTCTCATTTGCGAACATAAAATCGAAATAAAAAATCTATAAAATTCAATTTCAGTTGTTTTTTTAGATTTTAATTATTAAAATTTAAAATAATCTTGAGTCTCAAATTTTCGATTTTCAAATTTCAAAAAAAAATTTACTAATATAAATTTTAAAACAAATTAAAATCTCAGTTATATTTTTAAACTAGTTGAAATTTATAGAGTTCACTAGATGCTGAGTTTCACTATTTCAATTTAATGAGCTGTAATTTATAGAGTGCGCTAAAATGTAGTAGTGCTTTTTTTTTATTCTGAATTGATTGTAATTTATAGAGTTTGGCAGACATAATTGTTACTATGAATGCCATCAGCTGTTTTTGATTTTGAACAGATCATCTAATTATGATAGTAAAATGGAATCGAACATTGAATAGATATAATTGATTGGGATGCAAACACATTTATACACAAAAATTATACGTATTGTGTGAGATGAGTTATGCGCAATTCTGATACATTTTCCACTAGTAAAGTCTAAGTTAGCTCTTCCTGATGATTAATATGAATAGCAAAAGCACAACCAAACATTTGAAGTTGACTTTCATTGCGTAGCTTCTGTTTTGTTAGTGAAGCTGTGTCGATTTTAAAAACTGCTTAGACATTATTTCTCTTTTCTACAATATTTTATATTAGTAGATTGTATTATTTTCTTTGATATGAGTGAGGATGACCGAGCATATGATCTATCAGTATTATTCGACGATGTGTTTATATACTGTAGGAATAATTTTTTTCAACTGATTTATAATTTAGTTGTAAATAAAATTTTTGAAATATTGAAAATAGGATGTGTGTGGATGGATGTGGGTAAAGAGCCGATCCATACCCACATTCACATCTTTTTATCATCTTTAGTGTAAACCAAGTTTTAATTGTATGATTTTGTTAATCTTAATTCTTTTTTACTATTTCTTTCAACATTTGAGGAAGTTTAAACTAGTGATTTATGTATCAAGTTCACTGTATTAAGACAATGTATTTGAGAACAACACAGGGAAAACGTTTTATTTCATTTTCAGAGCCACACTAGGTCTCTGATTAATTCTAAACATTATAACCAAAATAAATGAGCAATAATTGTCAAAACCGAAATTCAACAAACATCGAGTTTCTCTTATCTTTCCTTGCCGGGAATGACACTAAGACACACGTGTTCAGTATTAATGGTCTATTAAAATTTTGAAAATATCTATAGAGATTTTTGGTCTTATGATCGAAGTAGAACGATCAATGGTGCATCTTTTAAAAAGAAGTTCAACATTTTATTATGTTTTTGAATAGAATTAGATGCAAAATAAAAAATGTCGCAAAGTTTTTGTCACATTCGATATATTGTACGCGTTGTCATATTTAGTGCGTATTGTTTTTTTACTTTCTATATCATAAGCAGATCTCTATCTATATACATATATAAATATCAACTAATAGATATCCTTACTGTGACCAGAATTTTAAAAATTCAATAATAAGATGAAAAATTTATCAAATTCGTTTGAAATAATATTTGTAATTGTTTTCAACACTATGTCTCTATTATTCGATCGATGGTCCTAATACTCATGTATTTGTTTTTTCACTCTCTGTTTATTATTCTAAACACAATGACAATATATTTTTTGTATACAAGACCAAAAAAACAATTAATTTAATTTTTGTTAATAAATTGTTCCTCGTATTTGACATGTTTATTCACGAGTATGCATCTTTCGATGAACCTTTCGAATACGTGCTGATAATCGAGATGTAATTAAATCCTGTTAAGAAAGTCGAATGTATCTTTATCATAAAATATGGTTTTTAACATTACATGCGGATTAATTGTATCTTCACATGCTAAATAAGCATATTTTGTAATAAGTACAATACCAATCTTTTTATATTCTACATCGTGAGTTAGTTGTGGATTAACATTCATATAAAAATCAGTTGCTTCTCGAATTAATTCATTCATCACTGGCTCAGGATTACCTTCAACAAAAAAAAAAGATGTAATTTAATATAGCAAAATCAATATAAAAGTCATCTATACAGGGGAAGTTCATGATGAACTTTACTACCAAATCTTGGTAATAATGATCGATCAGGAATTTGACCAAAACCAATTTCCTATGAAAAAGATTTTAATTATAGAGTGATCGGAAATTTTTTTAACAGAATGTTTGTTCGCTGTTGATCTGATAGGGTATTTCTGACGAAATCAAAAGTAATAAATTTGTACTCTTTTCGAGTACGTGCAGAGAAATTTTGTTCGGGAATAATGAAACAATTTTTGAAAAGATCAAAGAAATCACTTTCGACGAAATATTTTTTGTTTCGATGCAAAACTACCCGATAAAATGCACGGTTTTTTGTCTTTCAATAAGGCACCTCAATTTTTGAAAAATTGACAATTTTTTTACGTTATACACTTTGACTCCGTCAGAAATACTTTTAGCGAATACAATAAGTTTCTAGTTTTACTTCATTATTATTTATCGGTATTATAGATTATTGTTTTTTTTTGCTATATGTCGACGAGAAAGTGGAAGATGAGATATCAGATCTTCAACAAAGAGGCAAATAGTGCGAAAAAAAAGAACAAGTTGTTTTTGATCAATCAATGTACTGATAGATAATCAGCACATGTTAATTTGAAAACTTACTTATTATCTTCCTGAAAATTTAAAATAAAAACAAAAATATTTTTGTCTATATGGATTTCGCATGCATATGAGAAAAAGCCTCATTTTTTCTACATAACAACAAAATCTAAGCAAATTAAAAAGATTGTTTTAAAGGTTGAAGTCTAGTGGCTCAAAATTAAACGAGATGATTGATGTAATTTCTTCTTGAAAAAAACCTAGATAGGTTGACTATGATACTTATTAATACACAATCTGTGATGAATTCAGTATCTTCCTACTTAAGTTGATTTCTTCAATTTTATGGAGTGTATATTCAACCAAGTGACTTTTATATGTTCAGTCTTTGATGCTGATCATAAATTTGTAGTCAGATTTTTATTTGAGACAAGCTTAGTCCGTACAATGGCTGATTACCGAGCAAAATAACTATTAAGGATCATTTTTTTTAAATTTTATGGGCTATTCATCAAATATTAAAAGTTGTTATCTTCGGCATTTTTCATAGATACGTCCGAAAAACATGATATTTTGGATTCAAAGGGTTCTCAATATGATCTTTCGTTTGCAATAAAAGAATCCAAGAAAAAACCTTTTAGTGGCGGTCAGCTCTATTGGTGGTCGCGCGGATCCTCTCTTAAAGAGTGAGTTTGCTAAACAATGGTACTATTACATGTCAACGCGTTTTCCATTTATGTTGAAAAATAGTGATATCTGATTCACTTGCATCATTCAGCAGAAAACAAAGACAATAGTTATTTTACTTTTTTGTTAAATCTAATCTTTCAGAAGAATATGGATTGTGTATTTGCTCATTAGTTGAAGATCAACAATCGATAAGATATCGAACAGATTGCATCGATTTATTTATTATTTGCGACTGAATATCAAGCTAATGTGAGGCGTATAGATTAAATGATTAAATTCATCTTATATCTTTTATCGAAGTCGATAGATAACAAGCTACACTATTCAAAATCAGATGCATCGAACAGTAACAACGAAGTATTTATAAGATTATTATTAGTGATAGAGAGAAAGAGAATTCGATATTTTATAGTTCTCTTATGTTTAATTTTTCTCGTCCTTCAGAATATCTAATGTTAATTCTTTGTCTCCAATCTTTTTTCTGAGCAACTCAAATAATTCGATTTGCTTTGAATTGTGAAAGAATTTCTGTGGGTACAAGCCAATTTGATCTATAGGTTGACAAAACTTACAAAAATGAGTCATTTTTGATTTCGTTCTCTCTTTCAAATCTGTCGAACAAGAAAAAACTATTTCACAGGTGCATTAGAATATTATCGATTATCTTGCGAAAACGATCGAGAAGAAGATAAGGTATTACTTGACTTCCTTTATAGAAAAAACTGTTAGTGCAATTCCTTGCAGGATTAGAAATGTGAAACACGATGGACCTATTGTTACTAATTAAATGGGCACCGCTTTGCTCCATTTTTTCAAGATAGATTTATACCTTATCATTTATTTGATGCTTTAACACTATAGTTTCTCTGTCACGGTCTGTGGGGGGCAAATTTTTGACCCTAAACACTTCAACACTTTTTTGAGATCGTGTTTCACAAAAAAAAACTCATTTCTCATTTTTTTCTTCTTGAACGTATTCTGTAACATGACAAAATCAAGTTTGTAACTGTCTGTCTTACTCTATTCTACATCTTGAATGTTGTATTACCCGGTTTTTTGTGGAATTTTCCTAGAGCGACTATAGGAAAAATTGCGTAACTTTAGATCAGTTAAACCTTGATTACTCGAATAAATTTTTTCTTCGACTCCAAACGACTTTGTTTTTCGATTATCGTCATGTACGTGGTGCAAATGATCAATATTATTCAACTTATGTTCGTTAATTTACCAATAGCAATTGATGGAATGAGTAAAAAACAATTTTCTACAGCAGTTGAAGTAAATTGCTGTGACTATTATTATTTTTTTGGCTTGTTTTATTTTTGAAGTCTACTGGCAGCAAAAGAAAGATAAAATACACATAGTATTGTGAAAATGTTTCTAAAGATTAGATTTAGTCAAATCTGGGAAAAATGCAACAAAGCCATAGGTAGAAAGAGCATGAATAGAGTCACCCTTTAACATCTAAAATACATGAGAGAAAAGTAAACAGCGTCCTATTGTCTACAATGCGTGATAGAGATTCTAAAATGTCGCATTGCAGGAATAAACTTTTTTTTCAAGATCATCCTCTTTTATACGACATTGGACAGAATACAATTAAACGGATCTTTAGAGATAAAAACAATCGAATTGAGTAATAATAATATTCTAGAGTCATGGAAGTTTGATTGTTCTAAACTAATAAGATCTGGTTGCCATTAGTTATTTTTTGAATTCGAAATGAGCTATATTTAGTTAAATCATAGCTAAGTGATATATTCATATCATTATCATTTTCTGGTTTCTATGCTAACTAGGAAATGCTTCAAGCTGTGGAAATGCCTTGAGTCAAAGCTGTATGAGAGTGTGAATGAAAATACCTTGAGAATCACGCACATATCCTCACTTTTGATGCTGCTCATATGCAATTGCCAATTCCAATATTCTTACTGGAGCATAGCTGCAATCGAAAAATCTGAAAATTTTACAATAAACTATTCTCGTTAAGACCTGCCTCTCTGCAATATTTCAAGTCGTAGATCGAAACTCAGTCTTTCAGATGTTTCAAAGAGAAACTATAGAACTCTATCAGAAATATGATAAAAACACTGTTCCTCCATAGCGATATGGTATTATTGTGAACTATTGTCAGGATACTCTTACTACATTAGAACCTATATAATGTATATAATCTCGATTGAAAAGCGATTTTATCTCTAGAAATATTCTCTCCGAAGCTGGAAACAAAATGGAAAGTGATAACTATGCTACAAAAATATTTGATTTATTTATTTAATTAACTTGTCAATGTTTAATTAAAGATGGGCCAACAAGTATCTTTATCTAATTTAAAAGTTATCGATCTACTTGCAACAAATAATCAACATTCGGTTAAAGCATTATCCGATGGTAGAATAGAAGATGTTTATTTATTTTTACCCTTAGATGTTATGAATTCAATCAGTAAAAATTCGATCTTATGTTATAATCAGAAAAATTCGATTGAATTACCAATTACAAAAAAAACATTAACCAAATAAGTTCGAGCTGATCTCTCCTCACTGACGAATTTATCTGCAATAGAGCACCTCAATAGAGAAATTATAAGAATAACTCAACAAGTGTTCGATCGTATTATGGTGATCAATACAAATCTAAAATATATTATATAATCAAACATTGACAAATAGAAACTATTGAAAAACTCCTAAAACTTTACCGAGATAGGGGCCAAAAAAGAACATTGTCTCGTATATCTCTCTAGTCAGAACTCTTCTTTTTTTATTTCCTATGAGCAAAATGCACAATATTTTCTTTTCTTTTATTTGCTTTTTTAAATATCCACGTCATCATTCAAAACCAATCGGATTCATTTGCATTGTGACACGATTTCAATGTTTACAATTTTTGTTTTCATAAAATGAACATAAGCAGTATGATTATAGTCATAATAATGAAGTATTTTTATCAAACTCAAAAAACAAATATATATGAATAATATGTAACTGGTAAAGATTGATAATTATAGCAAAATGATTAGCTATACAAGAATCATTATTTCTTAAAACCATTTAGTCTAATATCTATCAAATTATAATATGATTCACTTCTCGTTTTATATTCATAAGGATATTTGAATTGTACTGCATAATAAAAGTACGTAGGTCATGTGAAACCACAAAGTAAACGAATTGATGATGCATTGTTCATGCAATTTTTTACATAAAACATTTATAATTTTAATAAATTAGTTTAGTAGTGGAGAAAAGTGCTAAAACATTAGCGACGCATGTAACATTAGCTACTGTTTTATCATGATTTATAGTAAGGTTAACAATAGATAATTTAATGTTAATAATGATAAATAGAATAATAAGATCTATTTGAATATAAATTTTCTCCATAGATAAGAAATGATAAAAAGAGAATTTAAAACTTTATTTGATGTTTTAATTATATTGGGATAAAACAAGAAGTTTGGTTATAACAATTTCGAACGAAATAAGAATAGCAAGAGAATAAGTGACATCATGAACTCTGCCTAAATTAATCTACAGATACGTTTTCAAAAATGTATAAAAATTTTTTAAAATTCTTTTGAGAAGATTTTCGATGATGTATTTCATGTAATGGAAAAAAAAAGAACAGTAGTGAGTCAATTTTAATGATCAGATGAGTTTTAAAATGATCTGACATACTTCTTTAAATTTTTTAAAGATATTCAAAGGATCTGTTTTGAAAAGAAGCACACAGAATCTTTGATCGGTTTAAAACTGATTCTTGTAAAGCACATTAATAAAATATTGACATGATCTGAATGTCCAAAAAAAAGAACAATGATGTTAAACTCATCAAGGCGACGAACACAATAGAAAAGAGTACGTGTAGCTATGTCTTTGAGTTTATTCTAGAATTCATATTAAATATAAAATGAACTAACAGAAGAGATTCGCTCTCATAATTCAGAAAACAATATTTCATCACTTAGTAAAGTTTCGTGATGATCTGAGCTGATTTGTACTATTGCGAACTCGGTCTAAATCGATATACTCTAATATGTTTCAATGGTTAAGAAGATTTTATGATTTGCCCAACCTACATTTAGATTCTCTCTATGAAAGTGACAAAATATCATCATTTTCATAAATCTGTAACTGTAGGATAGTATATTGGGATAATGCATTCTTTTTCTATCTTTATCAATTGCATGTCATTTAGCCTTATCATCATAAAATACTGATAGCATTGTTTTTTTTTTCGCTTCTGGGATTGTAATCAGCTTTGTTAACCTTGATCAACAAGTTATAAGTCAAATAATCAATGAGAAAATTAACATCTGATATTAAATTTCCACTAAATAAAAATCGAATGAAATTCAAAGCACAAAACAATTTCAACAATGAAAATATTTACAGTATTATTCGTTATTTATCTATCATTCATCAATATTCATAGTAAAATAATTTTTATGATGAAAAAAGAAAAAGTTTTTGATTTTTCTCTATTTTTAATTTAGTTAATAATGCAGAAATTGATTGTACTATCTATGACAATGATTTTGATGCTGTCAACATGAATCCATTTTATGCTCGGCGTTATGGTGGGCTGATGGCTTCTAATTCTTCTACATACATTATATACATTAATACGGGTCCTAACTCGATAATTACAGAGTTTAATATAGCTATTGATGTTAATCCATCTTCAAGTATATATTGTTTGAAAGGTTTACAAAAACTTCAATTATTACATACAAATTTAACAATATTACCTGATATAAAAAATTTGCAAGATTTAACATCATTAATAATAAAAACAGACTATGGTAGTATTGATCAACATTTACCACCTGAATTTGGACAATTAATATCTTTATCAAATTTAATATTATCTGATATTAAAAATCTTGAAGATTTACCTGATGAAATTAAATATTTAATTAACTTACAATCATTAACATTAGAAAAAATTCCAAATTTTAATAAAATACCTGATGAAAGTATCGGTAAATTAACAAAACTTAATACATTAAATTTAATTGATTTACCAAATTTATCAAATATGCCATCAACAATGATTAATTTACAATTATTACAACAATTAGAAATAACTAAAACAAATATGACTAATATACAAATAGACATTTTAGGAAGTTTAAAGAGTTTAACAATAACATTTAATTCAATATTACAAACAATTCAAATACAAAATTTACCTTTATTACAATCATTAGCAATTTTATCAAATAAAAATTTAACTTTTTTAGATATTGAAAATCTACCATCTACTACAACAATATCAATAACAAATAGTGCACAATTACAAAGTATTTCATTTGTTAATATACCATCAATAAAAAGTCTTGACTTGTCTGGATGTCAATTAACAATATTTCCTCAAAGTATTTTAACATTAAAATCTTTAGAGACATTAATTATGACATCAAATCAATTATCAGCAATACCATTAACATTATCAACTGATTTACCTAATTTACGAGTTCTTAATTTGGCGAATAATAAACTTCAAGGAACTATTTTTCAACCACCACTTGTCTATATTCGTGAACTTTATCTTAGTAATAATTCATTGACATCCATGGATGGTATTGGAAAACATATATCTTTACAACGATTAGAATTAAATCGCAATCAAATTTCATCAATTCCACTTGAAATCATGAAACTATCATCGACATTAAGGCAAATAACAATGGATTATAATCTATTGAATCATATTCCATACTCAATGACAAATATGGTATCATTAACAGGTTTCTCTGTTCGTTGGAATAATATTGCCTCTCAAGAACGGCAATATCTGTTGAAGTTATTCAATCAATCACCTGTCCAACCTCAATTTTAATTAGAAAGTATACTTTATTATAAGTCGATTCATATTTATTGAATAAATAAAAGAAATTCAGCTCATCAAGAAAAAAAAAAGTTTCTTTTGATGCAAAGATCTTTGACAGTAAAAATAACAACTGAATTCTTATAACATTGAATTATGATGACACACGAATAAACTACTTCAATAGTAAATAGTAAATTATTCCGATTCGTTGAATTGTTGTACTCTACAATTAAAAGCTCAAAAACACAAAAAAAAAGCACTAAAATAGATCAATTCAAGTAAATACTCTCACAGTGTTTAATTACGTCATTTGTCAACCAATTATTCGATTATTATTATTATTATTGTAGTTCACACAATACCTATTGAAATGACTTTTCCGGATACGCACTACTATGGTACACCTCACGTTAGTTGATAAATTGACATAGTTCATCTATGAAGAATGGCAAAATTTTTGGAATTTTTAATGACAAATAAGATAACAATATGGATTAGAAAATAATCAAAGACTTATAATGGTATTGTTCTCTTAGAGAACTTGAAATTCTAAAAGTATTTCTGAATCTTAGTTTTCTATTTTCACATGAAGCAATTTAGTAGTCAAACGACTTTGATATTAGACGAGCAGAATGCTGCTGAAGCGATAGTTTCATAAATTTGATATCTTACAATTATTACTAGCTGTAGCTATTAACATAAAGATCGGTTTATGTTACAATCTAATCATCATACTAATGGACGGATGATCCGAGGCAATAAACCATTTATTTCATGATCGCTGGATTCAAGACTCGAGCACGATATCTTACAGATATGCACCCAACAATGTAACCAATCAATAATAGCTAACTGTAAAAAAGACCAAACACTTTTCTAGACACTGACTGACGCTAAAGTTTTTCTCCATTCAAAACTCAAATAACAAAATTTTAGCTCCGATCGGCTCTTTACATCCTTTAGATCATTATGTCTTTTTCATTCAAGTTTTGTTTGATAGTGTTTTCAGGTATTCTACAAGATACTACTAAATAAAATAAAAAACAGATTTGTTGTTGAAATTTCGAGCTCTCTTGTATAGTTACGTTTGTCAAACTATGAAAACTATTTCAATCTCATATTGTAGAAATTTTTCAAGTTACATCTAAACATATAAAATTCAACATCTGACAAGAATTATCAACATCTTAAAATAAATATCCTATACTAGGGAACTTATAACGGAATAGATAATAACTTTAAGGAGCACCGATGAAATATTTGTGAAAGTAATGACAAAATAACTAGATTATTATTATACATTTAAGTTTCATACTTCTAATCTATAAATGATCTTATTATATTTATAATATATATCTTTGATCGAGTAATATTATTATTGGCTGGTGATCTATATTGAAATTATCTTTTTGGTATGAACTCACTAGATTGTTCGCTGTTTTCTTATTAAAAGTGTGCATCAAGAGAAGATCTACATCTTTAAGTTTTATAAACTTGCATCATTTTATGAAATAAAAGATCTTTGTTGTTCTCTTGTGCTTGTTCATGCCTTACAGACAAATTCCAAGAAGAAACAAAGATGAAACACTATGACACCATTCCGCGAAAAGAGAAAAATATTTTATCGATGCAATAAAGAAACGTAGATACGAAGCAAAGACGTCATGATATAATATATTTATATGCTATATTTTGTTTGATACTGATCGTAAGTAATACGAACATCTCGCTATCGCATAAAGATTCTCTTTCTCCGAATTTAGAGGACTTCGAATGTGGGATAGGATGACGGTCTTCTTTTGATTCTTACCGTCATACTCTGAGAGAGGCATTGATCATAATGTCTTCTACAAAAGTTATGACATTACATAATAACGGTGGTGTTTGTGAATCAAAATAGTCCTTGAATCCATTCACTTTCTTTTTCATCGAAATTGTTATTGTGAATGTTGAGCATCTGCAAATTTTTGATTTGGTAAAGTGACGGTGTGGGTGTGAGTAAAGGGAAGATCTATACCTACACCCACACCATATTTCATCAGCCTATTTCGCACATGTTATGTGAAATGTTTACTGTTTTTATGATACATTTATTTGAATACACTCTTATAATGAAAAATAATATGATATTATGAGTCATATTTAGGTTATCGTAATTCTTGAAAAACTCTTTATCTTAATAACTTCTAATAATACACTTGACATCATTTATCATAGAAAGCATATTAATTATAGAAATTAGTTGACACATTAATCTTAAGTCTTTCTATTTGTTGAGAAAAAATTTAAGTAAAATTTGTACTCTTAACTATGATCATATTATCAAGAAGACATTTATATAGACGATGAAAAGAACAAACAGTATGATGAGTACATCAATAGAGTTAACAATTTAGAATGAATCGGTTTGAATGG